ACAGCAGGTGCAGAACTAATGGAAGATCTCAGACTGCCCCTCAGTGAGCTGTTAGCTCTCTCATGCCTCCTTCAGCCCTCCTCCTCTCTCCATGTCCATAATCTTTAGCCCTCTAGGCCTTGACTCTTTTTCTGCAGGGGTGGAGCCTCCAGCCCCATCCATTCCTGGTGTTAATAACCCCAATTTCCCAGTGATCTTGGTGGTTTAAAAATGTCACCTCACCTGCGAGTATCTCCTTAATTAGCCAGACATTTTGTTCTTTTATAGATTAAGACATACACGACACACAGCTGTCCCTGTGATGTCTCTCCTGTCAATGCTCTGGGTCTCACAGGTGTCCCAGGCCTAGCCGTTCATTTCTTGGTTCCTACAACATGGAGCCCCAGCCTGGGAGAAAAGCCCCCTGGTGTCTAGATCCAGCCCAGACATGCTGTGTGACCTGGGAAACAGCACCTGTGGGCCTCAGACTCCCCAGAATAAAACCAGCTGAACTCGGGGTGGTGGGAGACCACAAAACACCTTTGGCCAATGATATTCTGAGCATCTTTGAATCCAGAAGCCAACTCAGTCCAGCCACTGGCCTCTAGAAAAGATTGCCCCTGAGCCAGAGTGGAGACAAACCCGACAGTCTATCTCCCCTTTACTGTTTGCTTCCTCGGGGGAAACCTGTGGCCCTCTGCCACGGCTCAACAGGGAAGGACAACCTCTGGGCCCCCAGGTGGCTGTCTGGGTGAGTCTGGACTCCTGGTGCCTGCTGGGGGCTTCCCTGGGTGGGCTGAGCCGCCCCAGGCCCCAGAAATGATCTGTCAGTCATTCTACAAGCATTTATCAAGGCCCCACTAGGTCTCTGACACTAGAGACAAAAGGCCGTGCCCATCCTGGGAAAAGTTCCTACTTTTCTTTCTTTCTCTCTTTTTTTTTTTTTTTGGCCGAGCCGGGTCTTAGTTGCAGCACACGGGATCTTCATTGCGGCGTGCAGACTCTTAGTTGCGGCGTGCAAACTCTTAGTTGCAGTGTGCATGCGGGATCTAGTTCCCCAACCAGGGATCGAACCCGGGCCCCCTGCATTGGGAGTGCGGAGCCTTACCCACTGGACCCCCAGGGAAGTCCCCCAAAGGTTCCTACTTAGAGACAGAGTGTTGTGTGGCCACCTAATCCCTCACCAGATTTCCACTGTGCAGGTTTCTAGCCCCCCTGGGCAGTTAGCTTCATCAACAGCACCCCCTGCTGGCCTCTTGGGCCACCACAGGCCCTTTGTCCTGGTTGGCTGCAGCCTGCAGCCAGGGGATTGAAGCCTGCACAGGCCTGGGGTTTCTTTGTATTTTCCTTCAGGCTCCTCCTGACTTGGCGCAGGCCCTGGTTTTTCTCTGGGTTTTTTTTGGCTGCGTTGGGTCTTCGTTGCTGTGCGCAGGCTTTCTCTAGTTGCGTCAAGCGGGGGCTACTCTTCGTTGCGGTGCGCAGGCTTCTCGTTGCAGTGGCTTCTCTTGTTGCGGAGCACAGGCTCTAGGCGTGCGGGCCTCGGTAGTTGTGGCACGCGGGCTCAGTAGTTGTGGCTCGCGGGCTCTAGTGCACAGGCTCAGTAGTTCTGGTGCACGGGCTTCATTGCTCCGTGGCACGTGGGATCTTCCGGAACCAGGGACTGAACCCTTGTCCCCTGCATTGGCAGGTGGATTCTTAACCACTGCGCCACCAGGGAAGTCCCGAGGCCTTTGTTTAATGGGTCCCTTTGGTTTGGCGTCCCTGCCCCACTGACCGTGGAAATGGCACTCTCTCATTGGGACCCTGGCAGCCAGTGTTCACTCATGTCCTGGGTGGGGCTGGAAAGACCCACGTCCCTGTTGCCTGGGAGACCAGCAGGGTCTCTTCCACTCAGATGGCATCCGGCACCAGGAACTGAAGTGGCCTCACCGAAGGCGGCATTGGCTCACTCCTGCTCTGGGCCCCACCCATGTCCCTGCTTCCCCCACCAGGGTTTGTCCCTGGTCCCTGGAGTCCTCATCGTGTGAGCACTGGCTGAGGTTCCACGCAGGTAAACTCGGCGGGAGAAACCCAGCCCCTGCTTGGGGGACCTACAGGTGTAGCAAGGAGAGTAACCCTGTCACCACTCTCCCCGCTGACACACACACCTACAAGACGGTGGTACCCTCCACCCTCCCTGGCCCATCCCCAGTACCTGTACAAAAGTTTTGGTTGTATTGGGAAAGCCAGGATTCTGGAGCTGCTACTATAACCCCTGAGCTTCAGTTTCCTCATCTGTAAAGTGGGGATATAGTAACAGTGTCTTTGCCTAGTGCCTGGACCAGCACCTAACATATAAGAGGAATTCAACAGTCACCTAATAGGTGACATGGAGTGGATATGGGGTTACACCAAGAGTTCCAGGAACCCAGGAAACTGATTTCGTTTTCATCTCTCATGCCCCGTAGAGCTAGCACAGTATAGATATTGATAAGTGTTTACTAGGTGAGTTGGAAGCATGCATGGATGGGCAAGGGGAGGCTGAAGATGTTTGAGTGGGTGGGTGGATGGATGGACAGACGGGCATTTAAATGGATAAGTAATGGAGAAGTTGGATATCTGGGTATGTAAATGTGTGATAGTGGCGTGAATGGAGGGTTGCTGGTGGGGTGAGGGTAGGAGAAATCGATGTGGGGATGCTACTCCCATTTTTACCTTTTTGCTGGAAAGCTCCAACATAAGGTGAATCCAACAAGCATTTATCAAAGTACAAATGCCTAACTGACCCAGAAACTCCACTTCCAAGAGCGTGTTCTCTAGATTAATTCACACATAATGCTGTGGCTGATATAAAAGGCGATCCTTCAACACTGTTTGCAATAATAAACTCTGGGGACAGCTCAGACCTCATCACTTGGGCTAGAGTGTGAGCCCCTGGAGCAGAAGGGCCTTTTCTGGGACCTCGGGCCTTAGGACAGCACCTGGCAGGGGTGGACATTCAGATGGCAGTTGGATAAATGATTCATCGGTGCCTGGGAATACTGTGCAGCCACTAAGAAATGAAAAGGCTCTTTATGTCTTGATGTGGAATAAACTTTGAGATATTACTAAGAGGAAAAAAGCAAGGGTCCAGATGGTGCGTACAGAATGCTATCGTTTGGGCTTCCCGGGTGGCGCAGTGGTTGAGAGTCCGCCTGCCGATGCAGGGGACACGGGTTCGTGCCCCGGTCCGGGAGGATCCCACATGCCGCAGAGCGGCTAGGCCCGTGAGCCATGGCCGCTGAGCCTGCACGTCCGGAGCCTGTGCTCCGCAACGGGAGAGGCCACAACAGTGAGAGGCCCGCGTACCGCAAAAAAAAAAGAATGCTATCGTTTTATGTGTTTTCTTTTACGGAGTGGCAGGGGATAGTACACATAGATATTTGCTTCTCTAAGATGAGTCCCTCAGAAGGAGACGGATGACACTGGTTCTCTCCGGAAAGGCCCCTGGGGGCTGAACAAGGCCAGCATTTCACTGGACACCCGTGATTTTTGAACCACGCAAATGAGTTGCCTTTTCAAGCACAAATGGAACGATAAGAAGTGCTTTAAAGGAGCTGTGTAGTGAAGAACTCCTTGGAAGAGGAACAGGGCATTCTTCGCGAGGCTGCGGGCAGGCATGGTGTCAGTTTCCCCAACCAGGGTGCCCGTGCTGGGGGCAGAGAGCCAGGGCCTGGGAGCAGACAGGCAGACAGACACGGTCCAAGCTTCCACTAGCCATGGGACTTGGCAGATTTCAGACCTCAGTCTCCTCATCTGTAAAATGGAGATGCTTCTAGTCTTAACAGAGCAGGCGTGAGGAGTCAAGAAGAGAATGCAGGGGCCCAGCCTACAGACCGTACTTGGTAGATGGGACCTGGTGACGTGGACAGAGATGAGGGGCCTTCAGGGGGCAGTGTTTCGGGATAGCAGAGAAGGCCAGGTGCTGGGGGCCTCTGTTGAGCACCCTGTGTCTGACCCATGTGTCTGCAGCCTGGCTTATGGGAGGGCAAACAGCCAGTGACGAGCAGACTTATGCTTTGGCCCGAGGACCTGGACCCATGAGCAGTGGGGGGACCAGAGGTGAAACCTCTCTCTTCTCTCTCTGTCTCGCTGCCTCTCCTCCTCCATCGCTATCTCCAGAGGCCTGGGGGCTCCAGGGGCCTCCTCACATGCGTGCTTACGTGCCCCAGGCCCAGCGCCATTCAGGAAGAGTGAGCCTCTTGAGTGTGACAGCTGTGTCCCCCAACCACTCGGCCGTGAACTAGCAGTCAGAGCCCCGGGGCCTCGTTCGAGCTCTGACACAGGCTCCCCGTGCCACCCCGGGTAACTCCCTTCCTCTCTCTGAGCCTCAGTCTCCTTATCTGGAAAAGGGGGGCGGTGCTGAGGGCTGCCCTCCTTCTTTCCCGGGAGGGCAAAGGGGAAACATGGAATTGTGGTTTGCAAACTCTAAGGCGTGGGGGATTCGGGGAGGGCACCCATGGCGGGGCTGCTGCACTTAGACCACACATGCAGTCAAGGTCGTCATGTGGGAAGATCCCTGTGCACACACGCGCGCCCACACGCACACACAGCCACATCGAGTGGGTAAGCCCTGTGCCGGGAACCTGCGGATGGAGCCGTCGTCCCCACCACCGCCGCCCAACACGCACGTGTGTGTAGAAATGCGTGGTGGACACGCCTGCCCAGTGCCCACATGAGCCACCCACAGAGAACACCCAGGAGCACCTCTTGCCCTCAGCCCAGACGGGGTTCCCCCAGGGCTGAGCGTGGAGAAGCGCTGGCTGGCCGTGGCCGCAGTTCCTCCTTCCAGTGCGGGGCTGCCCGGGGCAGAGGCCACCACAGCTCTCGAAGGGCCCTGGAACCCGCTGGGAGCCACTGAGGCCAACACGCCTGTGTCGGGGCAGGAGGGTGGCGATGAGGCCGGCGGGCCTGGCACAACCCCAGTGACACCCACTCTCCTCTGTCTTCACAGGCTGGACAACGTTCATGGCTCTCGGGTAGAACCCAGTGAAACGGCCAGAATGAATTCTATGGACAGGCACATCCAACAGACCAATGACCGACTGCAGTGCATCAAGCAGGTGGGTGTGTGGCCCGGGCTTGCTCCTCCGCCTCTGGCAGCCAGGCCCGCTGGCGAGGGCAGGGCAGGCGAGGAGGGCAGAGCAGTGGGGATGCTCTACACTGTGTAGCTGAGCACCCAAGGTGCTGGGTGGAGGTGACAGTGGGCAAGGCTGACTGCCTGTCTCCCCAACTGCCCACCTCATGAGAATGTGGCTGGCATGGACCAGCCTCACACTGGAATCACTCACCTGGGTTCAAAGGCCGGCTCTCTCCTGTCCCTTCCCTTCCCTTCCCTTCCCAGCTGTATGACTTTGGGCCCTTTCTGAGCTCTGCTGTGCACTCTGGGCTGTTTTGAGGATGCAGTGAAGTGCCTAATCTCCTTCCCAGACGCAAGCTCCCCACTTCTCTGCTTCAGAGGTTCCCTGTAAAGAAATAGAAAAGGAAAGGTCCTGGGAAATTCAGCCGTCTTACAGAAAAGGAAACCAACGCCCAGAAGGGGGACGGGAGTCACCTGAAGTCACACAGTCCTGCCCCACAGGTGCCAGGAGGGCCTCGTCCCAGAGGGAACAAATTCCCCCTCCTGCCTGTGCTCACACCAAGCTTAAGACGCAATTCGCCTGCCAGTACCCTGTCCGGATTGCTCACGGTGGGCTCAGAGGTCCCCACTTTAAGAAGCCTGGTTACGCTTGGGCAGGCAGATGCCCCCCAGTGGTGACCAGGAGTGATGCTGGGCTCAGCCTCCCTGCAGCCCAGGGCAGCAGTGTCCCTGCACAGGCTCTGGTGTTGTTTTACTCCAGGAAGGAGCAGATATGGCGGAAGGGGCAGAGGCTTTGCCATCAAACCGACCTGAGCCCCAATCCTCACTCCTCCACATACCCACCCACGGTATAATCTCAGGCCTGTCCCTCTGTTTCTCTGAGCCTCAGTTTCCCCCATGAAGTGGGTCCAGTAAGGCCGACCTCGTAGGACGCTCTGAGGACATTGTGGGCGGAGCGCGTAGCCCAGGCTGGCACGTGGCAGGTGATCAGCTCACTGTGGTGGGGGCTCTTGTCCTCAGTGTCTCAGTGACAGGGAGGGGACAGCTGTGGCGAGGCCCCTGGCTTAGGCGGGCTTAGCTGGCAGCTCGGGTAGCCAGCATAGCCCTCTGGCCTCAGGACCCCGGGGGGAGGCAGGGGCAGAGCTCACAGTCCCACCCCCACCCAGCATGCCCCCTCCCCACCGAACACCAGGGCCCAGTGGAGCTGAGGCTAGTCGGCAGGAATGAGGGATGTGTGCCGTCCCATTAGCATCACGCAGAGCAATCTCAGAAGCCTGGGCCGGGTCTGAGGAGAGGAAATTGAAGACGGCTTGTTACAGATTGAACTCCGCAGAGCAGCTCTCCCAAACACCAATTACGCCTCTGTTCCCCGTCACAGAATAGAAACCAGACGACGGGCTCCTCCTCTGCCCTTCCCTCCTTCTCCTCTGCCTCTAGGCTCTGCGGGACTCTCTCCCAGCTCTGCCTTTGACCCAGTTTCTTCCGCCCACGAGGGATCAGCTGTCAATGGCTCCACCCCCAATAATACAGTCAAGCCCCTATGCCAGAGCCCTCTGTGTGCTGGGCAAACAGCTCCCCCTAAAACCTGCTCACAACTTGTCTTTTCTCTCTGCGTCTGATTCCCTGCAGGAATCAGGGTGCCCTTTAGTCCCTGGGCCTCCCAGGGATCCAGCGGGGGCAGAAGCCCACCCAGGAGCAGTCCTCTCGGAGCATGGCACACAGGACTCAGACTTACCAGTCAGCGAACCTGAGCCCCCCGTTTCACCACTCATTGGTTTCCTGACCTTGATTAAGTCACCGCGTCATCTCCCGTCGTCTGTAAATGGGCATCGTGATGCACACCCAGCCATTGGGTCCCAGAGCTGTTGAAAAGCCAGGGATCGCCTCCACTGCCCTCCCCCAGCCTGCCCTGCACACACACACACAGACACACACACACAGAGCTCTGCGTTTGGGCCAGAGAGTGGCACACCTGTGAGGGTGAGCAGGCTGTCCAGATGGCCCCCCACCCTGGGCTATCCAGAACTCCCTGTGTCCTCCACGCCCACTCCCGCACTTCCAGGCAGACACAGCTCAGCACTGATGTCTGCTCCTCAGCTGCCCCAGAGGGCCACCGCGGCTGGCTGAAGACTGTTGATTCTCAGATGTCCCGTGTCCTAATTAGAAGAGAAAGGTCTGCGTGCCCTGAGGATGATGCGTGTGTTGGCTGTGCCTACCTCTGGCTGGTGGAGCTGTGGCTCCCATCGGGGGCCTCACAGCCTCCGACTCTCGGTCCTGCCTGACTTCTAAAGTGCAGCCTTCCCTGTCCACCCACCCCGGTTCTAGCCACTGCTGGCACGCGCCAGCCCCCAAGCACCCGGCTATCCATCTTCCCTCCAGGCCTCTGTCTCAGCTGCCTTTCTCCTTTCTCAGCCTCAGGTACAGGGAGAACCAGTGCCCCCTCTACAACATGCCCTACTCCTGTCCCCATGGGCTTATCTGAGCTACACGTGCAAAGCCATGCAAATCAGCTAATTCCTGCACAGCGACCTCCCCAAACCCCCGGTGCCCTTTTGAGTATCTGCGCTTCCCATTTCTGAGCCCTGGTGCTTCCTGGGCACCCAGTTACCTCACCCATCCTGCTCTTTCTCCCTTAAGGTACAAGCCCTGCAAGGTATACATCAGGTCTCCCACCAGGCTGAGTTCCTCAGGGGCAGGGGATGTGCCGTATTCCGCTGAAAGTCAGCAGAGCCCAGGCCAGGGTGGGGCCCAGATATGTTGGGGAAGAATGAGAGAGGGATGGACTGACAGATCGATAGCTAAGGGAACGAATGGATGGGTGGATGGATGGACAAATGGAAAGGCTGTTAGGTGAGCGGATGGTAGGTGGATATAGATGATGGATAGATGAATGAATGGATAAGTGGGTGGTTGGATAAGTTCTGGATGGATAGGAAGATAGGTAGGTAGATGAATGGATGGATGAGTGATGGGTAAAGTAGTAAATGGATGAATGGGTTGGTGGGCAAGTAGATAGATGCATGGATGAATTGATTGATTTTTGGATGGATGGATGGATGGGTAGATGGATGGATGGATGATGTGATTCACAGATGGACTGATAAAATGCATTCATCACTTGGTCTGGGTAGCCAGTCCCTAATCTGGGCATTGGTGTCCCCAGCTCCTGCTCCAACAGACTCAGTGGCCAGTGGGTATAGCCCAGGAGGATCTTCTGAGAGATTGTAGAGATGGGCAGGCTTCCTGGGGAGGCATCAGGTATTAGTATCCAGTAACAGCCACAGCCAGGGAGGCCTCTGCCTGCGACTCAAATCTGTGCTCCCATCCCCATATCATCAAAGGGTAGCCAAGCTCAGCCCACCCAGCCCTGGCCCCTCCACTGGGGACCCGTTCTGAAGCTGCCAGATTGCTGGCCAGCTCTGCAGATGGACCGTCCTTTGGCCAGCTAGCTGCTCACTAACCATTAATGCATGGGCTTGGCCTCGTGCCAGTTTTGGGGGTTCTGGAGGTGAATGGGGCCCTAATTCTGCTCTCAAGGAGCTTGCAGGAGAAACAAGAAACTGTACAGAGGACCTAGCGTATCGGGCAACAGCAGTCTTTACCTGACACCTACTCTGTAATGGGGATGTCACGACGTATGTTGGTTCTAGACTTTGCAGCAGCCCTGCAAGCTGTCCCCACCCCATTTTGCAGATGAGAGATCTGAAGCTCAGGAACACACCCAGGCTGTGTGACTCAGTGGCCGAGATGGGGTTTGGTCCAGGTCTATCCTGCTCATTTCACTGCATCACGTAGCCACCTTGTAGTCTAAACAGATGACAAAAGCACAGAGAGGGCAGGAGGTTTGGCCAAGGCCACAGAGCCACAGAGCAATAGCTACTGAATGGGGTGCCTGACGTCCTTTCTACCAGTGAGTTGCACCCATGAGTCACTACCCATAGCCCAAGCCGAAGGCCACGTGAACTGGCTGGGTCGAGAGTGGAGAAGCTCAGAGGTGGGCTGGACCGACATGGGAGGCTGGGTGCTTGGGGGCCAGGACAAAACTGGGCCTATGAGACTGGGAGCCCAGAGCCCCAAAGAGGTGTGCCTGGGGTGGGAGTGCTGTAGGTGGGCGACTCTGAGAGCACCAGGCGGTGGTTCCTGACCCTGCTAATTGGGTGTGACATCATGGAAATAAACAGAATAAGTCAGTTAGCAGAGGGAGACTGCTAGGCAGGGAACTAACCGATTTGCATGGCTTTCCACGTGGAGACCAGATGCCACCCGTGGCCTTGGAGGGGGCAGGTTTTAGGGAGGGCACAGGCGGCAGAGGCGAGGGCCCGTGCTGCCCGCTGGAAGGGTCTGCTTCTGGCCGTGGACGTCCTCCCTTTGCAGAAAGAGCCATGTGTGGGGCTAGGGCGGGAGCTGCCGAGTGCACAGCGGAGCCTTTGGGAGACAGAGTCGGGGCCAAGGGCAGCCCCACGTGGGAGCATCCCACGCGCCAGGCGCTCTGCCAGGGGCCATATAAGCCTCATCATGTTTAATCCTCACCGCGGCCCCCTAACGGAGGGCTGTGTCGCTGCATGCTTGCCCTCTTTCTTTCCTTCATCTCTCCCTCTCCCTTTGCTCCCACAGAGGGAGGATACTCCAATTCATTTCACTTTCCTCCATCCACTTTTAAATCTTGCCCTTCACAAACCACGTCGTAATAGCAGTGATGAAACCCTAAGCAAGACAAAAATTCCCACCACCATGCCGTGATCTGCCATCCCCATTTTACAGATGGGGTGACTGAGGCTCAGAGAGGGGAGGGGATGCCCTAGGTCAGTAGATAGCTGTGGATGAAGGCAGTGTGACTCCAAGGCACCGGCCCCACAGGGGCTCCCCCAGCACATTCGGCTCATCTCCCAATTCTGGAACCTGGCAGCTCCTAAGACCCCTCCCTGCCTTGGCTCTGAGGCAGACTCTCACTGCAAGCTGGGAGAGAGCCACTGCCCCGGGGACAGCTGCTGTTCCCAGTCTCTCCCAGCACCGAGGACACAGGGATCGCAGAAGGTACCACCATCCCCTTTGCAGCTGGCTTACACTCCAACCCCTGTGGACACCTTCTAGGTGTCCTGATGGAGGACCCACAGGCGGTCGCACCCAGCCCCGGAGTCCCAGCTCGGCCCCAACCTGCTTCATGACCCTGGACTCAGTGCCTAGTTCAGCCTGGCCTGGGAAGACACGGATAAGTGTTAAGGAAGGAAGGGGTAGCCATGGAAGCCACCCTCCACCCCTGTCAGCCCCGTGGCCTGGCTCTGAAGCAGGATCTAGACGCCCTGGCACCAGAATTCATTCTCCGTTAACTCAGACCCCGTAACTGGGCGGGGCCTGCACCCCCAAGCTGAGCCAGACTGAGCCCAGGAAATCTGGGTTTGGGGAACAGGGCTGACTAAGCCACGTACACCTGACCACAGTGTGACAGTAACCTGGGCACAGTGTGCTTCAGTGCACCTTCCCGGCTGGGTGTGGCCTGGAGGCCTCTTTCTGATGCCCCTGCTCTGGCTGTTTGGCCATGGCAGGGCTTGCTGAAGCCGGAGCAGGCAGCATGGTGGTGGTGGTTACTGGGGCAGGGGTGGGGGTGGGTGCTCATCAAGAAGGAATCTCCAGGGCCAGTCTGTCCTGACTCAGGGAGAGCCAGCAGCCCCAAGGATGGGAGCCACATGCCACCCTCCTGAAGCCCACAGGGTTTCCTACCCCACTGCCAGCATCCAGAAGACATTTTAATATCTAATATTAGTGCCCTTTTCTAAACCCTGGTTTTTCTATCTTTGCAATGGGGCCGCTAATCCCCATGCCACCAGGAACTGGGCTGGGGTTGGAGATGCAGAGGGAAGGTGGACGAGAAGGAGTTTGAGAAAACCCATTACTCCTGGCCTGCCCCTTTCTGTGTGTCTCCTCCCCAGGGATGCCTGGGGTCTTTGCGGCCCCAGACTCTCTCACACTAACGTGTGCTGGCCTCACTCCTGGAGCCTCATGCTGCCTCTCCTTTCCCTCTCCCACAGCACTTACAGAACCCTGCCAACTTCCACAATGCTGCCACGGAGCTGCTGGACTGGTGCGGAGACCCGCGAGCCTTCCAGCGGCCCTTTGAGCAGAGCCTGATGGGCTGTTTAACGGTGAGTCTGTACTCGCCCCGCCTGTGCCTGCACCCAGGGAGGATGGCTAGGGACTAGTGTGCTTCTCCAGGCTGCTGCTGGAGGGGAGGGCCCTTCTGTGTGTACCTCTGACACACATACACCCGCAGGGAACCTGGTCTGATGGGGAGACAGAGTCCTCGGGATTACATGGGTTCTTTACAATTGGTGAGAAAGACACAGATCCTACTTTGAAGAGTTCCAAGTCTGATGGGAGTAAATGTTCCATCGTAAGTAAAGCAGAGAGACTGTTGAAGGGTTTTCAGCCCTCCTTTTATCCAGTCATTCATTCATTCACTTAGGTAAACATCTTTTGAGCTCTTTTTATAGTCAGCCAGCCATCTATCCATTCATGTAAGCGTTTATTGAGCTCCCATTACATCCATCCATCCATCCAGATGAACACTGATTGATCCCTCGTTTATCATGTACAATCCCCTCTGCTAAGTCCTGGGAAACTGAAGATGAGTAAGACCTTGCCAAGCCTGATTCCCTCTTTAGGGGGGAGACAGAGGCGGAAAGAGACGGTTGAGAAAATTGTGTACAAAACGGAGGCAGCATAGAGAAGGGAAGTGTTATCGGCCTGGGTGGTGGGCAGGTTGCAGAAAACTGAGAAAAGGGGCCACTTCTACGTCTGTAGGAGTTTGATGCACATCTGCACAAGCAGCTGAGGATAGCGAGAGCATTCTAGGCACACGGAATGGCACACACCAAGGCCCAGATGCGCAGCAGAACCCAGGGAACTGAAATTAACTCAGCTTGGTAAAGGTCTAGGATACAAGCGGGGCGGAGGCCAGGCCCAGAGCTAGCGGTATCATCTGCCAAGCTTTGGAGCTTGCTGGCTGACAGCCACGTGGAAGGAGCTCAAAGCTTATGCTTGTCCCCAGCCACGTGGCCTATATCCATAAGTGTGAGAGCACCTCTGCGGCCAGTGAGGACAGCTGCTCAGAGGGTCCTGAGTCAGCTTTAAAGGGAGCGTGGGTAAACACATTGCTGGGGAGCCCAGCTACCCCAAGGCTTGGAGAGGAGAGGCCAAGACTTATGCCTGGTTAGGCGGGAACAATAAGTACAATTCAAGGGCACCATGTTTTCTGAAAACCTCCAGGACAAGAGAGAGGTGAAAGGCCATCACTGCAGAGCACCTCTCCAGTGCCTGACACTGAGCTTGGCCCGCTGGATACGCCTTCTCACTGTATCCTCAGAGAAGTCTGGTCCTGTCTTCTTCCCCATTTCATAGAGAAGGAAACCGAGATGTTGTGACTGACTTCCCAAGTTCACACAGCCACTTAGAAGTGGACCTGGGATTCAAGTCAAGACCCGTCTGCCTCTAGAGGGGATATTTCTGGCCATTAGGGATGCGGAGCAGGGATGCAGCCAAGACCCTCCCCGGGCTCCTCCATTTGTCCGAAGCTGACACCATCTGGCTCCCTCAGGGCCACTGGGCCAAATCAGGCGGCAGCCTGCACTGCCCAGCCCTCCTTATTCTCCAGCCCCCTGAGCTCCCCCTCCCTCACCCAGCTCCCTTAATCCTCTTTGTGGGGATCCTGGGTCAGGCTAAGCCCTGCGGGCAGAGACAGAAGTTACTCCCATCCCAGCTGCTGGTAGCCGTAAGTGAAGGGGGAGGGGGGGCTGCCACGCTCCCCCAGCACCCCATCCCAAGCCTGGCCCTGCCTAGGAGGTGGGGACCTGAGGCTGAATCCAACAATGGCCCTGGGCAGGCTGGCTGGGCAGGTGGACAGGAGATGACTAGAAACTGGCCCTGCCCCAGCCCTGTCATTCATCTATTCATTCAACGAACATTCACCAAGTCCCTGCTGTGGGCAGGTCCTGCACAGGGGCCCCCCCGAGGGGTGTGCAGTGAGCACAATGGGCCTCTCTCAAACAGCTTACCTTCCAATGGGGAGGCAGACGCTAAACACATAAGGAGTATGTAAGGATGTAACCCAGCGCCCTGTAAGAGGGGGCAGGGTGGTGGTCAGGAAAAGTCTTGGTGGAGGTGACCTCCAGCTGAGACCTGAAGAGCAAAAAGGAGTCAGCCAGGGGAAGATGAGAGAGGAGGGTGCTCCAGGCAGAGGGAACTGCCAGTGCAAAGGCCCTGAGGCTTGATTTGTTCAAGGAACAGACAGAAGTCTCAGATGTCTGGAGCACAGGAGAGGGAGAGGGGTACAAGATGAGGTCAAAGGGGGAAGCAGAAACCAACTAACACAGAGCCTGCAAGCTAAGTGAGAAAAGTTTGGAGATGCTTTGAAGGGCAATGGGGAGTCCTTGAAGGTCTTAAGCAGGTGAGGGATAGGATGTGATTTGTGTGAGCTCTGAAGGGGAGCATCCTTGGAAGGTAGGATGGAGGGATTCTGGAGGTCTTCCTGGAGGAGGGAGCCCAAGGAAAACTGTAGGATCTGATTGGCAGGGGATGAGACCACAGGAAACTGTGTAGACAAAAGCCCAGTGCCAGCTCTGCACCCCAGTTTAAGGCATATACTTGGTTGAATGGCCAGCTCTGACCCCCACCCGAACCCCCGACCTGCCGCTTAGCCAGAAAGGGGACTTTGGCCCACTGGCCGCAGCCGTAGAGAGCTGAGTCTGACTGTCACTTGGAGCACAATAGAACCAGCAGCAGGAAAGGTTGGGGGGCGGGGGGGTGGGGTCATAGAAGACACCCTTGGTGCCCACAGCATTTTCCTGGCACTGTCTCCTTGCATCCTTTTGAAGACCCTGCAAGGGGGCAGGGAAAGGCTTATCAATTCTATTTTACAAACAAGCAATAGAGAAGGGGAGCAGCTTGCTGCAGTCCCAGGCTGGTACCACTGACCCCCGCAGGGGCCCCAGGGCCCTGCTTGCTGCCAGTCCTCCTATCCCCCTGGGCATCCTCAGCCCCAGCCGTGCCCCATGGGGAGGGATGAGATAGGACAGGTGAGAGATCCCAAGGGGCCTAGGCAGGGCGAGGCTGCCAAGTACCCCCATCCCACTCCACAGCGCGCGCGCACGCACGCACACACGCACACGCACGCACGCACTGCTTCCCATTCAGGGGGCAGCCTGAGCCCTCCAGGTTGCTATCATCCCCTGGGTGACCTCTGGAACCAAATTCCTCTGGATCCGGCTTACTTGGAGGATATAAATTAAAAACCACTTAGCCTTGGGCAGTAAATGGACACATTTTTGCCACGCCAGGGCCAGGCCCTGGGATGAAGAGCCTTGGGACTCTGGCAGCCCCCTGCCCCACTCTCTCCTTCATGCCCTCTGACGCCAGGATGCAGAAGTGCAGGAGCCCCACGGCCCCTCCCTTAGCAGCAGGGCTGAGGCCCCTCTCTGGGGGTCCCCCTCAAAGTCAGGCCTCTCTGGACTTGCTCCTCCTTCCTCCCCTGAGGTGGAACATGCTTGATCTGCTCGAGGAACAGAAAGAAGGCTGAGGCGGCCAGAGCATAGGAGAGGGGAGACAGGTACAAGAGGAGGTGGGAAAGGGTGACAGAAACCAGTTAGCACAGCAGCCGTGCCCTCCCTGTCTCTCCAGGGAGGAATTCCCCACAGCCTCAGAGTGTTCACTGCTGAAGCCATGGGTGTATGGTCACAGACAGCATTCACTGAGCTGTGTGCCTGGTCCTGGCTGTCATCCTTGCAAGAAGGAGATTTTGTACCCATTCCACAGATGAGGAAACTGAGGCCCAGAGAGGTTAAATCACCTGGGTGAGATACAACAACGAATAATTGGCAGATCCAGAACTCCGTCTCATTCCTGACTCCAAAGCAGCAGCAGCAGTGGCCACAAATACCTGTCCACCCCAGTATTGAGAATGGTAGCAAAGTAGGAAATGAGGGCTCTGCCCTGAGGGGCTTAGGGTATAGCCATGAGACAGAACTGGGACACATGGAACTGGCAGAGCCCATCACACACAACCTTGGAAATGAGAGACATCCTTGTACCTTTACAGAAGAGGAACCGGAGGCTCGGAGAGGTTAAGTAACTTGCCTTAGGTTGCACAGTATAGGATGGAGCAGGATTGGAGCACAGGCCAGTTCCCCTGACTGCCTCATAGAAAGTCAGAGTCAAGCCACCAGCTGGGAGCAGAAACCCCTTCTTTAGCATTTCCCAGACAGCCTGTCCTGCTTCATGGCCAGGAGGCTCACTGCTTTTCAAAGCAACACACTCCCTTTATGGGACTAATGAAACTGTCACATGCCTTTGAATATGCCCCCTCTCTTGCCTCTGGACTTCAGTTTCCCTCTCTGTGGCATGAGGGGCTGGACTCCCTGACCTATAGGGCCCCAGGGTCTAGGTGTCAGACAGCCAGGCTCCACCGGTCAGCCTTAGGAGCACCTCAAGGGCTGGGCCGAGCCGAGCTGGCTGGACCCAGGCAGCCAGCAGAGGGCAGCAGCTCTGCGGCCGCTCACTGCAGGCCTTTGTTGGGGAGAGGTCTTCACTGAGGGGTCTTTACGCCCATTGGGGCGGGAGAAGGCCTCTCTGAAACACGACAGGAGGCTGCTCAGCTGAGCCTGCCCTCCCCACAACAGTCAGTCAGACTCACCTCACCGGACTTTCCGGGGGTCCTTAGACTGGGCCAGCCAGGGGAAGCCAGGGGCTGCACCAGTTACTCTAGAATCGCAGGGTCCAGCTTAGCCTGCTCTGCCACACCTGTGCTGTGTGACCTTCAGCCAGGCCCTACCCTCTCTGTCTTGGTAAAAGGAGACTGTTGGAACCAATGAGCCTTCTGAACACTGGGCTCAGGGCACTTGGTGACGGGTACTTCCAGGCCTGCGGGAGAGCCCTTAGAGCCGGTACCAGGCCTCTCTTGCTCAACGTAGCTAGTTTCTTTCTTTTTCTTGGAACCAGAGCAACAGGATTAGCCAGTATTGGCCAAACAGAAGGACCTTTGCCTTTCTGCCCTCAACCCAGAGCCTGAGGGTTCTCCATGCAGGTTGGGAGTTATGGCCTTAACCCTTTGTGGGCTGAAAAAGAAGTCCTCTCACGGAAAGAGCCCAGGCTTTGCAGCCTGCCTGCTTGGCACTGCACCCTAGCTCTCTCACAAACAAGCGTTGTAACCTCAGGCTGTTTTTCATCCTCAGTCTCCTCATCCGTAAAACAGAGATAGTAATAACACTCCGTGGAACTGTTGTGAGAATTTGGCGCCTCACTGCTTATGAAGGAAACATTTCCTTAGCCCTTGTACCTGGGAGCGAGCATTCTCATTACACCACTGTGTCAACATAGCCCACGAACAGCAGCCTCGCTGATGCAAAAGTCCAAACAAACTGCCTGTGCTCACTCGCATCCACCCCAAGGCTCTCCTACCAGTGAGGGCACCATAGTCAACATCTGAGCTGAAGTGACCCTTCCAGAACCCTTCTCCCCGATGCACAGCGTCTTGTCTCCAGAACTGAAATACTCAACAGGCCGTAAAGAATTAGGGGCCTTGGTTTTTCTGCTTGGACAGTGAGATTAACACTGAAGGAGGCCCAGCCCTGGGATGGCTCAGTGACTCTGGAACGTGGCGTGCATGGAGCGGACCGTGCAAGGTGTGGGGGGCGGGGGGGGGGG